TGTGACATCCCACAGCTGTCAAGGTGTTTTTTGGTCAAGGTAGGCTAGTGCCCAGATAGAGCACTGAGTGCCACAAATGGGACCCACCCCAGCTCTGCTCTCCATATGGCCACGCATTACCTTCCTGCTGGTGAAGCCATGGCACTCGGTGTGTTGGCGATTGGGTTAAGAACATAAGAACAGCCATACTGGGTCAGACCAAAGGTCCATCTGGCCCAGTATTCTGTCTTATGACAATGGCCAGTGCCAGATGCTCTCGAGGAAGTGAACTGAAACAGGTAATTGTTAAGTGATCCCTCTTCTGTCATCCATTTCCAGCCCCTGACAAACAGAGGCTAGGGACACCATTCCTACCTGTCGTGGCTAATTAGTATTGATGGACCTAACCTCCATGAATTTATCAGGGTTTTTTGAACCCTGTTAAAGTCCTGGTCTTCACAACATCCTCTGGCAAGGAGTTCCACAGGTCATGTGTTGCATGAAGAAAAACTTCATTTTGTTTGTTTAAACTGCTACCTATTAATTTAATTTAGTGAACCCTAGTTCTTATGTTATGGGAACAAGTGAATAGCTTTTCCTTATTAACTTTCTCCATACCTGTCATGATTTTAGAGACTTCTATCATATCTCCCGTTAGTCTCCTCTTTTCTAAACTCAAAAGCCCCCATTTTTTAATTTGTCTTCATATGGCAGCTGCTCCAAACCCTTTACCATTTTTGTTGCCCTTTTCTGAACCTTTTCCAATGCTAGGATATCTTTTTTTGAGATGAGGCAACCATATCTGTATGCAGTATTCAAGGGTTCAGGGTATGCGACATTTTCATCTTGGAAGGAAAAGAGTGAAAAGGCCCTCCCAAGCAAGGGAGCCCAAGGTAGCAAGGGTTTGTCTACACTGCAGATCTATTTCAGGATACTGGAAATATCCCAAAATAGCTAATCTGCATCTTCACAGAAAGCCCGTTATTTCGGGCTCACTATTCCAATGTCCCTGTAACCCTCATTCTACGAGGAGTAAGGGATGTTTCGGAATAGCACTTTATTTGGAAATTTGGTGCCAAAAGTCAAAATAAGCTATTTTGAAATAGCATCAATATAAGATATACAGTTTGTGTAGCTCAAATTGCATATCTTTTTTCCAGTTACAGTGCAGTGTAGACACCCTCCAAGTGAGCTACACCTCCCCTTTTCACGGTGGAAGTGCGAGGCACCCCCTTCCCTAGTAAACACAATTCAGACCAGCTACCCAGACAGTGGGCACTGGTATGGACGTTGTATGTGCTCCCCCCTCCCCTCCCACTGGCAATGCAGGGAATGTGAAACACAAGGAGCAAGGTTAGCTGCTCGGGGGTTCTCTTCTGAAAGTCCCCAAACGGCAGGAGCCATAGCTGTCGAGGTTAAGAAAAAATGCCCTGAATCGCTAAGCACAGGCAGCAATCTTCCTGCTTTCCTCCTCATCTTGGAATAATCAATGGAATTAACTGAGGTCGAGGAAACAGACTTACGGGTTAGTTGTGGGAGGCTGTGAAAATAGGGGGCAGCCATTAAAAGAAACCTGATCTCTATTCATCAACTTGGGGGGAAAAGAAAAGAGTCTTTGCTCGGGCTCTTACCGACCCTGTCTAGCTCTGATCAGATCTCTGGAAACAAGTTTACAAATATCGTCAAATGAGCCTTGTAGCTGCTCCGGGTTGTCAGCGCGGGGGAAGCCCCCGGGCTCATTAGATTCCAGACTTTGCTTTTCTGGCCAGTTACTGCCAATCCCCCGAGGCAGGAAGCCTGCGCCCCTCATTTTAACCATATGTGCGTGGTGCTGTCTTGTCTGTGGCTCTCCACGCTGCCCGGAGAGAGCGCCCCGGTTCCTAGCGGAGCCTCTGCCTGGAACTGGAACCGCGGCGGGAGTTAGCTGGGACTCAGGCAGTCGCTATTGGCGCGGGATGGGTTTGCCCTCGGCGCAGGGCGAGGCTGGCCATCGCCTGCGGAGCGGTTGCCGACCAGCCTAGCTGCGGTAGCTTGTGGGGCTCGCCACTGCTCCTCTGGCAAGCCGGGCTCCAGTAACTAACTAGCGGAGCCTCTGCCTGGAACTGGAACCGCGGCGGGAGTTAGCTGGGACTCAGGCAGTCGCTATTGGCGCGGGATGGGTTTGCCCTCGGCGCAGGGCGAGGCTGGCCATCGCCTGCGGAGCGGTTGCCGACCAGCCTAGCTGCGGTAGCTTGTGGGGCTCGCCACTGCTCCTCTGGCAAGCCGGGCTCCAGTAACTAACCGTGAACTCCGCGAGCTCAGATGTTTCCCTCTCCTCCCGCGATTGTAAAGGGGGTAATAAAAAGCTCATCAGGAGTGACCACATTAACCTGGGCTCTCGGGTTTCACGGGGAGCACTGGAGGTTACGCTGCCTTGTGTTCAGCCCAGGACGCCCGGGCTCCGGGAGTCTCATTTCAGAGGAGGAGGCGGCGGCGGGGGGAGGAGAAACTGCAGCATCAGTTCACCGAGGCCAGCTTAGCCGGTCTCGTGGCATCAGGCCCCATGGCTTCAGAAACTGCTGTTCAGTCGTCGAACTCATCCCCCTTGCTGTTCCACCGCCGCGTGCTGAACAGGATCCGCTGAGCTCCTGAACCGGGAGCTGCCCGTCCCTGGGCTAAGCAGATACCGAAAGACTGGTCATCATGTAGCATGGCAATTCGCTCCAACGCCGCTCGCGGTCTCATCCTTCCGCGGGACCCCTGCCCCCAACTCCAGCCAAGCCCTCCGAAAGAATCCCGTTTCACATCCCCCCTCCCCTCCCCTCTCCTCCCCTCCCAACAGCGCGTTCTTCTTGCAAGCGAAGTTTGTTAGCATAATCGAGTTACCCGCTAGTATCTGGATCCTTGTCCCCTTAAGGAACAGAACACGAAGCGTAGCAAAAGCTTTGAGTTATTCCCGTACAAAAACAAATACAAAATAAACACGAAACAGCAACCGATTGTGTTTGGTTTTATTTAGCGACTGGCAACGATCCTCTGACATGTTTTGCTTTTCCCATGGGCTCGGGAACTTAGCTGGCCGTGCAAACTTTTAGCGGCCCAGTCCTGAGGAAAAACAAAGTTTGAAGATCCGTTCCGCCCAGTCCAAACTCCCCCTTGAATCTAGCGGGACGTTTTGCCGGAGGAAGGACTGAAGGGCTGGACCCTCATGATAATTTGAGAAGTCTCCAAACTGAAACTTCTTAGTCCGTTGGTTTCGGGACAGAGCTGAAATAAGGCAACTATATTGTCCTTGGATGGAACGACAACGTAAACCCCACATTCTGGCCGAGTTCTTTCTGTTTACTAAGGGTCGGAGGGTAACCAGGCAATATTTTCTTATCCATTTTAAGCATTTTCTAAGGGGAATTATGCTTAACAATTGATGGCACAGCGTGGCCCTGTGAATGTAATTGTACTGCATTATTTGAAACCAATGTTTTTTTCCCCCACCTTGTAATAGTAAGTTACATGGCGTGCTGAGCCTTTTTGCCTACACTTTCATCTAGTCAGAATATTGCAAGTTTAAAAAGTTCCTAAGAGAACTGCTTTCTACCCTTATACACAAAAGGAAAAGTTAGTGAGGAATATAACTAGTTAATCATATCATTATCTGCGGGTCTTTCTTAAAGTTTATAAACATCCAACAAGAGAATTCTACGGTGATATCTCTAGCCACATCTGTTTGCCTAACTATATCTAACTGCAGCTATATTATATCTAGTAATACAGTGTGTAGCTATCTATGGTTTTATATATATAATAAGAATGCTTTTACTATTGAATAAATAGTGTATGTAACAGATACAGATAACAGATGCAGAGAGATATACAGTATAGAGATTGGCAGAAAGATGCATAGGTATAGGATGTAAAGTGAATAAGTTAATGTCTTCAGAGAGAATATCAGAGGCCTGCAACTTCATCGAAATACTAGCTTCTAAAATGAAGTGATGTAGGCATTACCGAGAAGGCAAGCTAGCGTTGAAATAGCTGCAGTATTTGTGTCTCGTTTTATTTTATTGCAGTCATTTTAATTCACACAGATCAGCTCATGGAAAATAAATATATTGTGTCAAATGGCGTAATTGGGTGCTTAAAGGCATACTAGATCGGGGACTGATTATAAAAGCAGCATATTGATAATGCAGATCATTTTACTTCATCCAGCAGATCCATATTTCAGAGTGATTTGTTTACACTTTGATGATCTAATAGAATATTACTCTACACAATTGTTTATCCTTTCTGAAAGTAACTTTTGCTAATTACATGTCCAAATGTCTGGTAGGAAATCACGCCATTGAGAGTCAGCGATTGAATGAAAGGGATTTGAAACAGACTGGTTAAATCCTAGCTTTTCCTACAAGCATACAGCTCTTAACGGCCATGTACTGTTTTCCCACTCTTGGTGCAAGAAATAAGAGTGGGTTGTGCATGTTGCTTTAAAATACATATTAATGAAAGAGCTCATTTGAGGATACAAAGAGGGTTATTCTGCTTGAGTCTCGCAAATCACCGGGGTTTTAATTGCCTGGTGCAATGGTTTTGATGTTCTCTTTCTCCTGATTTCTTTCAACATATATGAAATTTCTGAAATTTCTGAAAACCAAATATAGGCTCATTTTAAATACACGTCACTAGTTCGCAATTGCGTTGAAATGCAAGCTGATACATAGCACTTAACAATAGAATTGCGGTACGTTTCCACAGCTATTGGGAAATGAAAGAACATTCCGTGCAAACGGCAGTCTGCTCAATGTAAAGTGAAAGTGCCGATGGAGGTCCTTGCCTGTAATCTCTGTACTCACATTTTCGGGTGCTAAAGAAGAGAATTTCTTAGATCTAAGTCCATACAACAGGTTTTGACATATCCCTTCCGGGCTAGGGTGAACAGCTGCTCTCTGATCCCCATTCAAATTCAGCTGCTGTGGTTATAAGATTCAAACAGAGAAAAGCAAAATCAGGTATAGCCTCATAAATTTGCAACAGAAATGGGTAGGGGAGGGAAGACCTCTCTAGCTCTTTTATCTTTCCCCATAATTTTAATCGAGAAAGGGTTAAATAATACCATGTCCTTTCATTTCAAATGCTCTCCCTCTCTCTGTGTAGGGGGCAGAGGAAAATGTGTGTTTCAGTCATAGTTCCTGTGCTCTGTTTTGAATAACGTTTTGAAACGGATCTTACTATCTCATGATTTTAAGATACAGCCTGTATTACAAGCTACACGGACATTTAGACTGGGATTGAAAACTTAACCTCTGAATTCTTTTGTTTGCCAACAAACACAGTTTGAATCCGGCAAGACGGCGTAATCCTGTGGCACCTTTGAGACTTAACATAAGCTTTCGTGGGCAAAACCCACTTCTTCAGATGACCTTGAGTGGAAAAAAAAATATTCCTGCAAAATTTGACATGGCATTAATCTCAAGATTTGGCGTGTTCAAACTTTAAACAAAGGCAGATCATTAAAAAGCCCATTGTCTTGTTTTAAACGGATTTGATCTATTTCACCCATTAGACAAAGCCTGTATTTTGCGTTCACTATCCGCGAGTTAGCAAAATCGGAGCCGTTTGCTGTGGATTCCGTCTTTAACTCTAACCCTCCTGAAAATATCGCACCGGTTAAAAATAGGTGGAGTTTCCAATCCCTATTCACACGGATAACAAATAAAAGAGCAGGGGACGCAGACAAGAGAACGATGAACTGGGATCCAAAGCAGGAGTAGCAGGTTCCCTTCCCGACAAGGGGATGTTGTTAAAATGAGTAAAGATCCTACGCTCTTTCCATCTCACGTCTTCTTTTCGCCTTCCCTCTGCAAAAGCAGGCGGCTGTGGAGCGCGCCCGGGGCTCCTAGGGTGCGCCGATCCGCACCAGGGCACCGCAGGAGTTTGGCTGCGACGGGTAGGACCCACTTTGCACGAAACCGATGGGCTTTGTCCTTTCCCTGTGCGGCTCAACTGCAGGTTCAGAGCCGGACCTTGCTGCCTCCCCCTCCCGGGGCTTGACTTTATGGCGCCGCTGGCGCTACAGCTGGGTGCGGGCTGCTTGTGAATGACCCGCCAGCGCCGCTTTCCCAGGTCTACCACCTCAATTCGCTGGAGGCGAACACACCAATCCCAGCGGGACTAAGCCCGGCTCTGGCTCCCGGCTTGCCTGCCTGCCCCCCGGCATTCTCCGCTGCTCCTAGTCCCTGGCTCATCCCTACCTGCTAGCCTCACTCCGCTTCTGGGGCCCCCTCGCAACGCGGTAGGATTGGACTGAAAGATGGGGTGAGGGTTGCGAGGGTTTTCTCCACGCTTGTCACCTAAATCACCGAGGCAAGGGATGGGGTGGGCGATCTGGGTTAACAACTGATCGGTGAGGACCCCATAACTGCGAAGACATCTGTTGTTCTCACAGGCTAGAGATGGCGTGGAAGGAACTTTCCCCAACGTGCCTAAAAGGCAGAATAAGTCTAATGGGCTTGACAACTGCCCGGTTTGGGTGTAATACGGGATAGTGAATCATAACACCGTAGGAAGATTACTCCGGCTGGAACTGACTTGGGAGTTGCAGGACATTTTCTGCGCCTTAGAAAGTGGCTTCGTTGGCAACCACAAAAACTATATGAAATGTGTGTATCTTAAAGTACATAATCTACGTTTATTCATGTATCTGATCAAGTTATTTTTCTGCGTATAGTTTACATCCATTCCTAGTTCATCTTTCGTCCTGTCTGATCCCCTCAGATAGACAGAGGTACAAGGATATCTGAAGAATAAGTCTCTGCCCCGAAGAGGCTTCAAAGTAAGGCTTCCAAAGGAAACGAAGATCTGCTTTATAAAGTGTCTTCTACCTTAACTTTTTGTGGCTTCCTAACATATATATCCTTAGATTTATAAACTTTAGCCTCTTTGCAAGTGGAAATATATACACCGAATGGCATTATTACTGCTATTAACTTATAGCAAGTTGGAACTTCGTTTCAAAACTTGTTCACAGTTGACTTTGGTAATTTAGAGTCTAATAATTTCCTTGTTCCCAACAGCCCGGGACTAATAAATACTTAGTGTGTAATCGGGACCAGAATTCAAAAAAGGGGTCTACATTGTACATATAAAACCTTTAATATTTATAAAACTATGCACTTTACCCTCACCCCCCATCTTACTGATAAAGAAACTCCTTGTGGCAGTTGAAACCTATCAAGAACCCAAGTTTCCTCCCGATGCCAGCCCAACAGTGAATTAATTTTGCCTCCAATGTTTTACCCTAACGTAAGCAGCGTTCAGACTTTCGCACAAGTTTTGTTGCTAGGAGGATTCAAAGACAGAAGTGCTGGGGGACTTTTTGGTGCTGCAGCGCCCCTGCTGTGAGAGTCTGTGACCTGGACGCTTTCTCTGGCGGGCCCTCCCTCCCGCTCTGGGTGTTTGCAGCGTCAATCACAGCGGAAATTTCTCTCTCTCTCTCTCTCTCTCTCTCTCTCTTTCTCTTTCTCTCTTGCTAATAGCTTAGCTCGCAGGGCAGCCTCCGAGTGGATCAGAGCAATCTGTCAACCCAGCCGGGGAGCCACCTCAAAACAGATCAGGTTACCCCTGATTGACAGCGTCACTATGGCAAATAATTTGACTAAAACTATTGTCTTCTCCTGGCAGTCCCCGGGTCAGATAACTGGACCAATCAGAGCGCGGATAATCACTTTTCATGCCAGCTTAGAATAATATTATTTAAAAAAAAAACAGAGAGAAGAGGAGGAGAGAAAGGAGAGAGAAGAGGGGGAGCAGGACTTAACCACTATATTATGTTGAATCCTAGAGTGGGGGGGGGGGGCGAGAAAAGGGCGATCCCAGCGGAGGAGGGTGGGGGTGGGAGAGGAAAGACACCACCGCTGTGAGCGCTGCTGACACCAGACAATAGAAGCACAAAAAAGTTACTCTCCGAACTTGGACTTACAAAAAAGTTTTCGCGTTCGGTCTCCGCCTTTGATCCTTTTCACTCTCGGCTCCCGATGGCTGCCGACTTGAGAGCTGAGTTGTGACTTGTGCCGGAGCGTAAGTAGCCGCTCGGTTGGGGTTACATCCATGATTGGTGCTTCTCTCTTTCTGTGCCTTTCTATGTGGCTGCTTTGCGCACGTCCGATGATTTAGAGCGGGGAGGGGGAACGGCCACCATGTCGATGCTCCCCACTTTTGGATTCACCCAAGAGCAAGTGGCCTGCGTCTGCGAAGTGCTCCAGCAGGGGGGCAATATAGAAAGGCTGGGGCGGTTCCTCTGGTCCCTACCTGCCTGCGAGCACCTCCATAAGAACGAGAGCGTCCTCAAGGCCAAGGCAGTGGTGGCTTTCCACCGGGGCAACTTCCGCGAACTCTACAAGATCCTGGAGAGCCACCAGTTCTCCGCTCACAACCACCCCAAGCTCCAGCAGCTCTGGCTCAAGGCGCACTACATCGAGGCGGAGAAGCTGCGGGGGCGACCCCTAGGGGCAGTGGGCAAGTACCGGGTCCGCAGAAAGTTCCCCCTGCCCCGCTCTATCTGGGACGGCGAGGAGACCAGCTACTGCTTTAAGGAGAAGAGCCGGAGCGTGCTGCGGGAATGGTACGCGCACAACCCCTACCCCTCCCCTCGGGAGAAGAGGGAGCTGGCCGAGGCTACCGGGCTCACCACCACTCAAGTCAGCAACTGGTTTAAAAACCGGAGGCAACGCGACCGTGCTGCTGAGGCCAAGGAAAGGTACGAGTAAGTACCCCCTTCTCGCACGGCTATCTGCTGTCCCACGGTGCCTGGCTCGCTCCCCTTGGGCCCAGCCCCTTCGCAGCCCGTAGGCTGTGCACAGGCAAAACCTCCCAGCAAAGGCGCTGCGAGATTTTGCTTTTCTTTCCCCCTAGCCCGCCCGGCTTGGGTCCTTGCCTTGGGCCGCTTCTGAGTTCTGATTTTCGCACGTCCTGAAAAGGGTGGGTCTGAGCTGGAAAACCCTGCTCACCGCTGCCCTTAACCATCGCGGGGCCCTAGATTCCCTGCTGCAAAGGCTGCCTGTTTGTGATGGGCTCCTTTCCACTTCGTGTTCCTTCGGTGTGGGTTTGTCGCCGCAAACCAAGCAGCCTGGGAGGTTTGATGTGGTGCAATCGTTCACCGCATTTATACTCCGTATCCCTGGTTTTTTGACGCCCACAAAAATAAGTTGATAATGTGCTTTCAGTGGCCCGCTTTCCAGGATTTTAAAGGGGGTAAGATGGAAAACAGAATAAGGGAGAGTGGGACCCATTACACCTAGTTAGCGAAGAATACAAGGCAAGTTAAAATACATAAGTTCACCAATACAGATCAGAATGTATTTCCCCCACCCCCGTGGAGATACTATTTCCTATGAAATTAACTCCAGTTAATTCAAGTAGCGGTCAGTGGTGGAACAGCTTGTTTTAACCGGCATATTTTTACGTAGGATTTTATGTCTTTTACGCTACAGTTATTTTAACGCTCTAATGTAAGATATTTTTAACTGGTGATCAGCAGGAGCATTCGTTACCAGCCCCTGTTCACCGCCAGTGACCGGAGCCTGGTGTATTCGGCAAATGTGAATGCTCTTGAAGTTCTAAAGGAACTGCGTCTGGCGGTGGATCCACGTGAACCAGGTTCAGATAGAGGGGAAGCTTTTAATGAGGCGGAATGGGGACAAATACGGCTGAAAACTCTCTATAGTCCAGCCCAGTGTTGGCTGCTTTTCCACCCGTATGTTCATTTACAACGCCCATATTTCACACGGTACCCTATTGTAAAGATAGTCTGTGGAAGTACTGTGAGGGATGTACTCCAGCCGGGAAAATGCCAGAAGGAATCCTCGAAAGGTTTCGATCTCACGCCGTAGGCCTTGGCATTGGTATGGATCTATGCAGTCAACACCCTGCCAAACGCACTCTGCGTGCAAACCCAAAGGTTTCCTCTGTGCGGGGTTTTTGGGGGGTTTAAATACCATTTTTTTCTTGTGTTAGCAAAGATTAACTTACATTATGACGCCGGGCTCCTTCTGAACTCGTCCTTTGTGTTTGCTTTTGGAAGGAAGGGCTACAATCTTTGACACGTTCTGTGCAGTCCGAAGGCTGTACCTTTGACTCGGCACGCTTTACCGTTAGACGCAGAGCCAAACGTGTTTTAAAAAGTGTCCCCCAAATGGACTTCTTAGAAGCAAAAGAGAATGGCCTCTTTGTTGTTCTTGCGAAATGCCGCACTATAACACTTTGTAGGGCTTTGCACCTCTGTCGGGAAAAATCTGCGCTTATTGACACGTTCGTTTTTCATTTGTCCCCGCGCCATCTGACTTCTGGGGTAATGGAGGCTAGAATTTGGTCTCTACGCCGTAAACTACACCGCGACTGGTGAAATTGTCCCTACTACCAGGTACAGGCTGAGAGCAGGAAACTTGGACATAAGTTTTATTGGGGAAATCGCATACCTTGTTAATGAAAATGCAATTGGCATCACTACACAAATGGATGCCCCGCCAGGCACAGGGTTTTCTGGTACTGTAAATAAGTGACATTTTCTGTATCAGATGAAGAGAAGAAAACTGTTGATCTCGGGATAGCGGTTAAAATGTGCGGGGAAGGGAGGGGGCTATTGTTGGGATGTTCCCCCCATAGTTCCTATGCACTATAGGAAGCCTATTAGGGAGCGAAATGTAGGATTCCAAATTCACACTATCTATGGCTGCATGTTGTGTACACTACATTGGAAATCGCGAGCCCATAAGGATTTGATCATTTTGGCGGTGTTGGTAATTAAAAGTCTTGAAAAGCAGTTGCAAGTCATTCGCGGCATGGCTCTAAAGTGCCTTCATTTTTAGTCTATGTTAAATGTGCTTAGGAAATGTTAAGCGTCCCATATAGCTGATTAGATTTAGGCTTAGCTGTGATATTCAATAAGGTTTGGATTCTGTACAGATTTGCTCCGTACATTTCCCCCAAACGTGCTAGTCCTTTAATTTTCTTTCAAATCCCCGTAAAGTGTTGCTTTTACGAGATGTCAGAAATCCTTTCATTGCTGATAGGAGGGACTCACCTTCAAATATCCAAAGGAAATGAATGTTACATTTACTCCTTTCATTTCTGAGGAATCAAATTTTAAAGCTCCCCAGAGACAAATAAGTTTTTTGACATAGAAAAATACACTCAACCTAACATTACACTCTAGGCGTCGGAAAACAGCCCTTTCATGGAACTTCCATTCTGTCAAGCAACTTCTTCAAACAGAGCTTTCTTTTCTAATTTTGTTATGTTGGTAGTAGGTGTCCAGCCGTGAGATTAGCTCACATTGAAGGAAGTCCTTTAACTTCTACCGAGTAAAACCTGAAAGATTTGGACCCTTTGCCATACATAACCGTTAAGTATAAATACAAGGCTGTACCAGAGAGCTGTACATAGCCTACAGGGGCCTTTCCCCCGTGTATCTAACTTGCCAAGTAAGAAACACAAGTCTTTCAAAGCCATGAAAATCAACATTCCAGTGTTCACTATTGCCACGGGCTTGAAGATTCTAGCCATTCTCTTTCTCTCATATACATATGTGAGATAGGTGTTGTTTGTGTTTTCCTGTCACCGTGTCTGAGCGTGGGTATGTATATATACATGCATACATACACACTCAGGCACGGAGAGACAGGCAAACACAAACAACACGCATGTCACACACACACACACACACACACATATAATGTTGTGTCTCTTATAAAGAGACTATTCTTGTGGCTAAGAAGAGCGAAATTTGGCTCCCATTACGTGTCAGTGTATTTGCGTTCTCATTACTTTAATTTCGGCCAATAGAAGAAAAAGAGGAATATAAGTACAGGGGTATTTCCTTATAGGACTCAGGAAATAAGCACGTTCATTCTGGTCGCTTGCCTTCTTTTACATACTAGGATACTTTTTCTGGTTTAAACTTACAGAGGGGAAAAAAGAAAAATGTAGTTGAGGTGTCGAGTAATTTTATCAAAACCAGAACTTATCCAGATGACCCAACCCTTTCGGGCCGATCTGCGTGGATTAATGACATAATTTGAATATGTTTTGCCTCTCCAGGAGAAGGCGTGGATAAAATTCTGCTTGTATAAGTAGTGTTTCCAAAAGTGATTTTAAAGTGAAATGCCCTGTATTTTCTTTCCTTGTCCCGTCGCTCCCAAAGTTATGCAAACATTTTGCAGAAGATGGATGGAGAAAATGAGGTTTTGTCAAAGTGACACGTTCTATGGGGCTAGTGGAAAACTCTGTTTACAAGCTCTGCAGCCCTTTAGAGCTTTGTGAAAGCGGAACAGGCCTTTGAGGTTTGCAGAGTTTGTAAACGCGCTGTGTTTCTCTCTCTCCAGTTATCTTCCCTGGGAGCGAGCCCACATCCTGCAGTCCCTGCAGCTGCCTGGCTAACTCCAGTGTGACCAGTGCTGTGTTCACTCCACGCTAAGATCTCCCTCCCTTTTATATTTCCTATAGGGAAAACAACGAGAATTCCAACTCCAACAGCCACAATCCGCTCTCAGCATCAATGAACGGGAATAAGACAGTTTTGGGCAGCTCAGAAGACGAGAAGACGCCGTCAGGGACCCCTGATCACACTTCCTCCAGCCCAGCTTTACTGCTCAACTCGAACCCAGGCCTACAGCCGCTCCATGGCTTGGGTCACCCCCAAGGTCCTAGCGCCATTCCAGTACCCAGTGCGGACCCTATGCACCATCATAGTTTGCAGGACTCCATTCTCAACCCCATGTCCTCCAACTTGGTCGATCTTGGCTCCTAAAACTATTTACACGCTCCCCTCATCACACCCCCTCGTTTTATTTCTAATCTCATTTGAAACTTTTAAAGTGATGACACATTCATTAGTGGATCTGTTGCCCCTCTTTGGATGGCTGGCTGGCTGTAGCTGTTGGAAGGTAATGTACTAGACTGTCCGCAGTTCTGTTGTGACAAAGTCTTAAGGGTTGTGCAAAGCTGGTTTCAGACATATGGTCTGTTGGATGGGACTTGTGATTTAAGCATAATGCTATTATGGTTCTATGTAGCAGCTATTTTTTCCCACCCTTAACTTCACCAGCCTCTTGGAATTGTAATAGAGCAGGCTTGTCTGTGTATGCTGACACATTTTATTGTGGCGGAGCGTAAGGTTGCTGTTTACATGCCCCTTTGGAAAACACCCATCGCTCCCGTTACCTTATTGTAGTTATATATCCATGTCAGGTGTACAATGTACAATTGCTGCTAAGAACACAACTGGTTTAGTCAAGTTATAGCAGCAACAGACGCCCTAGTCTAGGTAGACTCTGTAACCTGCTTGTAGCTGACGCTACGCAGAGAGCCAGCTTCTTTCGCTTGTCAGTGTTGTGCTTTCGCCATTTCTTGGGTGGGAAAGAAACTAATGGCCCGATCCTCACCCAGCTGAAGTCAATGTCAAAATTCTCCCATCGACTTCAAACGGGGGCAAAGATGGGCCGGGCCCTATAAAAAGTTGCTGCTCATTTTTAGACCTAAACGACAGTATCAACCGCGAGTCAGTCGACTTTAATTTTGTTCATTGTTTATATTATGTGAATACGTCCTTCGGAAAATATTTCTGCTTTTATTTTATAATAAAATTTAGAAATCGAACCCCGTGTGCAGTACCTAATTTGCATCGTGGCTGCTTTTGTTTTGCCCCAACCTGTAAAACGCCGACTGGAGCCAATCGCACAGTTTTAGTGCTGCAGTCTAGCTCACTGTACTCCGCCCATCACGGCTCCTTCCAACCCCAACTCTGAGCCTGAGCCTGAGCCTGAGCCTGTTCTCATATTAGCCGAACTAGTAGAGGAACTTTGCTTTTTTTAGTGTTGGGGTTTGTGATACGATTAAACTATTTGCCATTGGACAAATTTTCTTTAATCAAAGAGAAAGGTGCCTCCCTGAAACATTAAAAGCGGGGGAGTTTAAGGCGCATCCCCAATTCCCATAGCTCTGAAAGGAAGACCATAGTGTTGGGTCTCGGTGTGACACTGTTTTGACGAAAAATCTGGAGGCTCAAAGCCTGAAAAAGCTGCGTAGTAATTGTTAGTTGCAATTCTGTGACTGGACCTTTCTTTGTAACCGGGGCGCAATGTGTACGTCTTGTCTGATTCCTGATCCTTTCTCCATGAGCAGAGAAGGGTCTGTGAATAGCCCCCCCCCCCTTCTACGGGAGTTTAGCCGAGGAGCCAAAGTGAAGGAGTCGATTTAAATCTTGGGGTAGAGCAACATCTGATCGCTATAGGGTAGCCGAGGCTCCTCGATTCACTCTAATACTCCAAGAGGGAGATTTGGTGGGGATTTCCTGCAGGGCAGTGTGTCCAGCGTGGAGGAAGCAGGGAGGCCACAACCGCTAGCATCCTCTGCGCCTTCCTATGGGCCTGCACAGGCACCACTCCCCACAGATCCCGCCGCAGCTTTGCCTGTATAAGGCGTCTGGGGCCGACCCGGCCCTTGGCCAGAAGCATCCCACTCCGCTTGGTTCTGAAGTTGGCTCTGAAGTTGGCGTATCAACAGACCTCGCACAACACACACACACACTAACACGCATACCATCACACACACACATGCATATACACACTAACACAGGCACGCACACTAACACGCACACACCATCACACACATTCACACTAACACACATGCATAAACAGTAACACACAGACTTTAACACGCACGCACAATAACACTAACACACACGTACACTAACACACACGTACACTAACACACGCATATACACACTAACACACAAGCTCTTTTTCAAGTCTTTTTTGCTTAGTGCGCTGCATATCCCAGCCCTTGGCGAGGCGCGCAGAGGCTGCGGGGCGGGCGGGTGCGAGGGGACTTGGGTTACAGGGCTGGTAGGAGGCGGGGGAAGGGGAAGGAAAGAACAGGGCGTAAGGAGAGGTCGGGTGAGGATCTGGGCAAGGCGGAACTCAGAATAGACGGGCCCTGGACTCAGTGGGAGGCAGAGAAGCAGAGGCGGGAGGGGGGAGTCTCTGGAGGCGGAGAACTAGCCGAGGTTCTCAAAGGCGCAGGAAGGGCCCGCTCACCTCTCCGGCCCACAGGCAGGGAAGGTTCATTACCCGAGAGGCGAGAAGAATCGAAATCATTTCTACCTGGCGTCAGTTACTTGGCTCGGGAGCCCACATGGCCTCCTGTCCCCACCCCTCTGCCAGTCGGCTCTCTAGCCGTGCTACACGCCTCTCTCCTCCCTTCCAGCCCTGGCGCGGGGTCGGCCTCGTGGTAGAAATGGAGCGAGTCCGTATTTACGAGTCTCTTGCGCACATCGCAGCGCCCGACTCCAGCGAGTCCTGCCAGGCCAGTGCTCAAGCTGCCCACACCTGGCAGCGGGCGCCACACTACAGGCACGAACCGAAGGCGTCTGCACTGGACCGCGGCATTGAATTGTATTTCTCTCGTTTGCGGTATCCCAGTGACACCGACAGAAACACAGGGGAGCTAAAAAAAAAAAAAAGCCTAGTAGTCCGGTGGCACCTTAGAGACTCTCTCTCTCTCTCTCTCTCTCTCTCTGTGTGTGTGTGTGTGTGTGTGTGTGGATATAGATAGGTAGAGTCATGAGCTTTCGTGAGCAAAACCCACTTCATCTGATGAACGTGGGAGCTAAAGATGATCATGGGTCACGCAAACAGGCAAGCAGTTGAGAGCAGCACTACAAGCGGAAGTTAGTTCTTTAGGGCTTTTGTATATTACACCATAATTTGACTGCAAACGTCATTTTGGAAACGTCTACCTCTGACTGATACCACCAGCAAACCATGTCAGCGTCAAGTCAGATACCTTTTAAGAACAAGAGGGAATTAGAATTGCGCTACTCATACCAGGTTTAGCGAAAGATAAAAGAGAGTTTAATAAGCACTCAATATTTAATAGATTTTAATGCCAAAAGGCATAACTGTAACAATTTAGTCTGACCTTCTTGCCCAGAATTTCACCCAGTCATTCCTGGAGCAGATCTTCCGCTTTGATGTAGTAGGCGGGCCATTACAAAAATACGAACGATTGCAAAGTTTTGTTTTCTTTTTGTATCTCTGCTAAAATGCATTTCTCATGAGTTTTGACAAATAAGCCAGGAACACTCTAGGGGAGGGAAAAAAATATGTATCGATCAGCAAAGATTGCATCCAGGTTTCAAGGGTACTGAAATTTCAATCAACTGAATTTGGGGAGAGTTTTGTCTGTATAATGTCCGCGCCTAAGCTATTCTTGAACAACACTAATTGATCCATGTGTGTGCAGGTATCCTACAAGTACTTTTCTGTTAGGGCCTTGTCAATGAAAGTTATGTTATTGATTTCAGAGGGAGACTGGAAGTTGGATCAAATCCTAAAGCAAACGCCTCTTCATCAGTTCTATGAATCGAATTACTTCAGCGTTGTTTGGATTCTGTTGGTAAACAAAATATTTTATGTCCCCACAAAACACTCTTGAGGCATCTTTCCCCAAATGTGTGCTCTTTGTGTTAATATACTGCGCCAGGCAATTTGTTTTTCAACTGCAGAGCTCATGTGAACAAGTGGATTTGTATGCATGTGTGCTAAGCACCATCGTGTCATCTATATTTTTGTCTTATGCGGAGCCATACTTTTAGCTGTACGTTTTATTTAATCTTTTTAACAGAAACCTTTTGTAAAGACTGAAGTTGGTGTTTCCCGAAGTTATCTAAACTAATAAACTCATGAGTGTCAACTATTAATTAACTTCGTTGTACGTAGCGATAGAAACTAGTGTGAGATCAACGAAGAAAAAACACCTGGGTTATTAAAGCACAGTCTCGAAGCTGAAAATAAGACCCCCTCACTTTGCCCTTTATAGAACAACGGGTGGGGGGGGGGGGAGTAGGGCTATGAGAGGAACTTAAGAGACTAGTAGGAAACAAGGACAGGATTTAGGTGGTTAATAAAAGGTCATGTTGCACAGAGGGGGCAAAATTGTCCAGAGGAAAGTAATAATAAGCGTCAAGGGGAAGGAAATAAGCGTCAAGCGGATAATAGGGTGAAAAAAGCCCTTTGAGATGCAGAGGCAATGAAGACTACTGTGGGTGGTGGAGGCAATATGAATATGCAGGATGGAGAAGGGACGGGAGAGCGAGCCAGTCAGTTCAGTTACAGTGAGCTGAAAGAAGCTGAAGGTCAATCTCTCAGTAGGGACACACTCAGCCTACAGCCAAGAGAAGGACAGAGAAGCAAGGGGACGGATGACAGAGTTATGTAAATTATGGCTTTGCCTTTATCTTCGTTATATGATGCAACCTGAAAATCCCTACATGTTAAAACTTACTCTAGCAGACTGCACTTGCCTTTAGTAATTATGTTTTCCAAATTAGTTCAAATCCCCAGACTTTCCACACAAAAAAAGTTTTGCAACAGATTAATATGTAGAAAATGACGTGACTAATCCTTGGTTTTAACCAGATTAGGTAAGATTCAGGAGCTTTGTGTTACACTGGGCATATCCCATCAGAAACATTTGCTCGCCAGCTAACGGCATAGGTTTCGGCTGGTAAATAAACACTGGGGTGCCGATCCTGTACGTTTTACACAGGCAAAACTTCCCCTGGTTTCCACACAGTTATTTCAGTGAAAATTTCACCGGGGCCAGCCCCCCTGCCGCTTCGGACAGCTAAAAAGCAATTGTTCTTCCCCCTCTCCCCCCCCCCCCGGAGGTGCTCCTTGGGTGGCACTGAGAGCACACCTGGGCTTATTGACTTCCGAGCAGGGCTAGCCTGGTAGCCTGTTTTAGCACTTGAGCAGTGTGCGGAGATGCCGGTTACCAAAAAGTGAACTCTAGTGTAGTCACAGCCTTTGCGTATCCTGGGCCAGACCCACTTCCCCACGAAAGCTCATCGTCTATTAAACCATCTTGTCAGTCTTTAAAGTGCTACATAGTTTTTCCTTTTGTTTTAGCAAGATCAGACTAACACGGCTACCTCTCTATTGCCTATCCTGGTCAGACAACCTGAACTCAGCTCTGGAAGTCAGCAATGCGGCTACCCTGAAATAACCTCAGAGATACACAGTGCAAAGACACCTCCCTTACATAGTGCTCGCCTGTAATTGCATGACCACAACACACACACACACAATTGTATATATGTTTTTGCCTCGAAATGAACTGCTACCAAATGAAATGATTAGCCCTGTGCTTATAGTCCTCAAGTGAGTCTACTGCATGCCAATAAGAGTGCTTTTTAAAATAATCCCCGCACCACAGACATACAGACTGTTTTCTCTGCTGATAAACCCTCGTTTTACTATTTGCCAGCTAGCTTTTTGAGTGTTATTTTAGAGGTCATTGCAAAAGAAATGTCAGTAGCTCTCTTGCTTTACACATTTAATACCTAAATTAACACTGAAGGGACTATGCAAAAGTGGTTTCGAGTTGTGTAGACATAATATTAATGGACTTTAGCAGAGCAAAACCAAGCTGTCTGGAGACGAACAGTCTGCCTGTTCCTGCCACTTTATTCATGCCACAGGCAGGGTTTTCGGGCTAGTAGTTCCATTGATTAGCTACTGACTGGCTAGTATGTCAAGAAGAAATGTACTAATATTTGCTGAATCTCCTGATTATTTACGTGAATTCAAGGGGCTCATCTGTTTCAATTGCTTCAGATTGCACAATTCCAGTTACATAAAAACACGGAGACCCTTTAAAACTTTTGGGGGAACAAAATTAAGTATAATCTACGAAAGCTTCTTTTGCTGAGTTTTACAGAGTATACATTGAGTCATTTTGCAAATTTGCAATGTAATCTAGAGAGAGAAATAATATTTCCGAGAAAAATGTCGTGCCTGGCGTATTTCCTAAGGGATATTTCAGATGAATCTTATTTCCCCCACCCCAGACTTATTTATTTATTTATTTTGCCTTGGAGCTTTGTTAGAAAGGAAGCCATAACCTATCCATAATAAGGAATATTAAAGAACTGGAGTGGCAGTACTTTAAAATGATAGAAATATCTGTGCGAGGCACACGGTATAAAGGAACCAGACTTGCGTCGGAAAACTGGAAACACATATAGGTTCCTGCAGTCTCTAATATAATCTCAGTCTCTTGCCTTCACTACAACAGAGCGCGGCTATGGCATAGGAAACCAATTTCGGGGCATCGCTCAGAGCAACGGTATGGTCCGTGCAAGCTGAGCAGGTTGGGGAGGCAGGGGGATTGTCTGCGGCGGTGTAGACCCAGACGTGGAAAAGTTTGTATTTATATTGGGCAGCACATGTGGTTTAGAGCGTCTGTGCTGATCACGAATGATTTGTCTGTTAAAAATAAATCAAAGGCGTTCGAATCAAAGGATTTTTAAAAATATAGTAATACACGATGAAACGCTTTGTGTTGCTAGAGGGTCCATATTGTTCCCATTGAAGTCCACGGGAGCTTTGCCTTTGCAGTTCCTGAAAACAGGAGCGGACCCTTAGCAATGAATGACATACACCATCTGCTTTTAGGTTGGAGTCATAAAGAACCGGCAGTGCCTCTTTCCATTCGCCGTGTCCTCCCCCCCACCCCCTCGGAGCGGCCGGGGAATGCCCTGCTGATTCGAGCTGGTCAGGGTGAGGACAGGTAGGAATTGAACGCTAGCTGCGGTGTTGCCTTGACAAGCATCGGGTCAATACTCACCCAGATTCCACTTCTTCGGTCTGAATTCCCACTTCAGGCCGGCGTGACTCGCGGCGCGGGGGATCGAGCCTGCCAGAAACCAAGAGGTGTTTTTAAAACCAGCGCCAGGCTTACCCTAGACTAGAGGGAAGCGGCGAGGCTTCTTGGGAGCCAAGGTGCTATCGGAGCCGGCTATTGAACGGACAGGTACCAGGGGTGGCGTTCCGGGGGGAGAGCGGAATGTCTGTCATTGGGCAGATGGAAATTACACATGTGTTTCTGATAACCTCGTTACCCAGCGAAGCCCTACAGGGAATACATCTCTGAGGCAGGCAGTACAACCCTACACGCCTTTTGGAGACCTGCTTGTCCTGCCGTGGCACCGAGAAACTCCGCGCCCTGGGGAGGGAGTGGAGTTTCCACAGGCACCGATGCACGCTATTTTCGGAGGAAACGGTCATTTGCGCTGCGCATTGCTCAAGAATCGGCTGCACCCTACAATACGGTGCCGCGGTGAAAACTACAGCGGGCCATAAATACGATTTAATCTGGAACCAGGCTTTGCTCCAACATGCACAATCTGACCACGTCACCAGAAAGCACAAAACCTATGGGCTGGGGCTGGCTACATCCCAGTCAATCAGGTGTGAAGACAACCGGTTTCTCCAGGCTGTCAATGTCATTCCGGTGGTCCGAAGCTCGCAGGGGTTTGCCTGAGGCACAGCGCCCTGTGCATGCGCCTAATCGGCTCCCAGTCAGTTTCCAAAGGCGCGTGTTCCAGACAGCCGTGCCTAAGGCACGGGTCCTGATTCCCAGCCTTTGACACAACACACACACGTTTAAGGACTCCTCTCCGTTGGCTCGGCCCTACCAACTGCTATTCCTGCTTGGGAATTGCAGTGAAGGGACGGTTGAGGCGTGCCACTAGTGGCCGCTTCACTCATTGACAAATTGCCATTTGTAATCCGGCTGCATTTGATGGTCCCAGAATCAACAGTGAACGTGCAAATCAACCCACCTGTTGCAGTCACTGTCTATGATGGGATTTCAAATGCGCCTAACTGATTTAGGAACACAGTCCCCCGTAACTTTCCATGGGCTTTGAATTCCTAAATCTATCGGACGGTTTTTAAACCGCCATCCCGCACATCGGTGGGGGCCGGGGAGAAAGTTAGGAGGAAAGTTTTGCTCTTTCAGCTTTTGTTACGTGAACAGTAGTAAGTGAAAGGTTTCGTTCCCTTAATGTTTACAGTCAAATAAACACATGCTTATTGGCAGGGAATATGCAACGGCACGTACAAACAATCCAGCTAGGGACAATTTCATAGTAGTTCCTGTGTGTTGCAAAACTCCATTTCCATGGCCCCACACTGTATTATACTCCTTAGAATTCCGCCCTTCCCCCCTAACAAAACTTCTGTAGATTTCAATGGGAACATGATCAATGGGAAGATATGAGAAGGTCGATCAAAGATGGATTGAATATTGTCCGTTTAATATTCCCCGAAGGCACTGCTACTGGTATAATCAGCTAAGACCCAGGGAGCTGCATATGGATACAAACAGGGTCCGTGCCGGTGCACATCTGAACTTAAAAACCGCGTTTGCTACAGTTATAGAGATATAACTAGCACACGGGACCTCCAATTGTTACCCAATGCTCTCGGGTACGTGCAATCTTCTTGGCAGATGATTTTTGTGTGTGTCAAGGAAAGTGGACTTTTCCATTCTGTCAGAATTCTGTGCTGTGGAAACTGCTATTTATTTACGGAGCATTGTATATACGTATGAAATACAAGATATTTCCTGTACATCTGGTCAGGAGGGGACAGCATTAGTCCACATTTACTTACACCGAAACGTGAAGCTAAAATAATCAAAACAAAACCCAAACCAGACTCAGCACTCCAAGCTTGGTGGGATTCAGAAAACAATACTGGGGGCATTTTAGCAGAGCGCATTGTTTCTAAGCGCTCCCCACGGCTATGAACAAACAAGTTATTTTCACTGTTCACCCTGATATCTTCAGGTTACGCTTGCTGCTAACAGCTGTTAAATATAATAATATATAAACAGCAGCATGTAGTAATACATTCCACTCTGCTAGTGAGGTTGTGGCTAGTGGTTGGAAAGGGGTAATACTTCGAAGACTAGACTCAGAGTGGAATACTGTGTTTTCAAAACACAACTACAGACAACACAGTTACGTAACTTTCACTGGGGCACAACATTCAATTGTGTACATGCTGTCCAATTAATACTATGACTTTGACAAGATAACTATTTAATGTAAACTGTTTTCACTTTTCATCCGAATTTTTCAATTGTCTGTTTAGAGACCCTATCGAGTCTGCTTTAGACGAGGTTAAATTTGATTGGTTCGAAGGTGGAGAATGTACAGAAAAGATTATGGGATATTTCATAGAATTATTATTTCCCTCTAAAACTTACTTTTTAACTCTTTTCAAATAGTAACCTCTGAAGCGCCCAGCCCCTCGACTTAATTAATAAAAAGTAACACCGCTGTACGATGAGTAATTCAGCTAGAACCAAGACTTCCTCATCCCCCTTTTTTTTTCAAAGACAGGCTTCGGGTCATGTAGCGGCCCAGATCCGTTTTTCTGACAATGACTGGGAATTGTCAGGGTTTCAGTTTAATTAGTCCCATAGATCTATCAATGTAATCTCAAGGGTAGAAATGTGCAGAAAAAGGCAACCAACGCTTACTTATAATTCGCATATACTTTAGTAAAGGAAACAAAAAATGGCAGTTTTCAATTATTCTGTGATAGGAATATTATTTTTTACCAGTCTCATGGGACACAGAGATTGCACTAAATTTCTGAGTATTTCGATTTACTCCTGTAATTCTTCTAAACAAATTAATATTCTCATTTGCTTTTTTCAATCTATTCAATGTACATACACATCCCTTTTAAATGTTCACCGAATAGCTGCTTCTGTCATAATTAACGTAAACCCAACCTTTCCAGCTTAGACACAACATTGGAATATTCCACTGCACGTTTCGATTTGCCTCTGCTGAGTAAATCTATTCCCGCAGTTCCAGGGTCATAAGAAAACACTGGGGATCACGTTTGGGTCTCGCTTATGAAAATCCTCTTCCTGCGCGTCACGCACAGAAGCCTCTGTCGGATCCATGCTCTGGCTCTCAGTGCTGCAAGGTTGTGGGCCACGTTGCGCTGTGTTGTATTGCCCAGGCCAGCCGGGAGGAGAGCAGCACATGGGATGCTAACCTGGGTTAAGAGTCAAGTAGGGCTGGAATAGTTCCATACAGGAAAGACACAGGCTGAAAGGCTTGTGGGGGCAACTGGGATGCTCTTGCATTACCACAAGAGTTTCCGTGACATTTGAGCTGAAGGGCTTCGTCACCTTTTGTCAAGCTCCATGTAGTAGCCCAGCTGCATCTGTTCAGCCCAGTGATACACTCACGAGAGCCCATTCAGTCTAGGGCAGACATGCTGGTAGGGTTCCTCCCAAAGCAAACGGGCCCTGGCTGCGCATCTCAGATTGCCTTCGCTAGCAGAGGGGTAAGGCAAGGAGGGGGAGTAGATTTAGCAGGAAAACAACAAAAGATTACGGGGCTCCCGCAAGGATTTTAGGCCGAAGGAAAGACTCAGACCTTCACTCGTTATTTCTCTCCTTGTTATTGTGTTACTGCCAAGTCAACCCCCCCCCCACACACACACATACGCGTGTGGCGCGGGCTCTTGTGCTAATACTGGTACTAAATGACACAATCTGCAGACCCTTAGGCGATGGCTGGTGCAGAAATGCCTAGGAAGGAGACGCCGGGATCTCTGCAGCAAAGTGCTTGCTTGCGTGCCCTGTTCGTTTGCTGAAGTCCTGGCCTTCCGTGGTCAACGGGAGTTTTGCTACGTGGACCAATCCTGCCTGGCTCATTCAGACAACACACTAGTAAGTAAACCTCTTCAGGTGCCACTGGGGACGACTTTTTATCTTTTGAGTAAATATTTCAGCAGACCCAGGTTCTTGCAACATACATCCAAGAACAACTGACCTTTGCAAGATGCATGTTATATATTCGTCGGAGGCACAATGTCAGTGTTGTTAACGTAGTTGCGATATATTTTATTGGAGTGTCAAATGAGGCATCTCTAAACATGGAAGGATGGCATGCTTTGTTAGTGTAAACTAAGTCCTAAAATATACCGGCGTGTAACTGGCCTTGCTGATTCCCGTTGGACTGGAATGAGTTGCCATTTAATATTTGGAGGCATTTTGTTGCAGGACGAAATATAATGCAGTGAGTAGAAAGCAGGAGAATACTCCTGGCATTGGACGAACTCCGTGTAGTACTCTTTGGTAGATTCGCAGTTTTCTAGGCCAAAGCAAAGCATTTTCGCTCCATGTCTGCTCGTGTATCAAGGAAGGCGAAGACACCATTTCAGGAATCCAGCTGGTTGCAAATCAGACATTTAATCTCTCAGCTGGAACGATTTAATGGATCAGTATCAAGTAACAGTTATGAAAAAGTAGCCTCCTTTACAAAATAGAGATAAATCCTGAGTGAATAGAAGCAAATTAAAACCATGGATTAAAATGACTGCAGACAGTGGGGTTTTTTCTTTTTTTTTTCTTTTCGGTCCTCAAAAGAAGCCTTAGGACCCAACCGAGTTTACAAAACATTCGTGCTATGTTGCTATTTGCACAGACAGATTCCAGAAGCAATCCCGGGAGATCACATACCCTTGTTTGGAAGGATCCCCAGCATCCTTCCGTCTGGAGCGCTTTAGGGATGTGGCAGTGGGCAGACACGAGCCCAGAAAGGCGACCCTATATCGCTAGGGGAATAAGTTATAGAGTTTCCGTGGGGACCGAAATGAACCCAACACTCTTGCATCCGTGGACTGCCCCTTGGATGGGTGGGTGTGCGGGACGCGCTCCTGAAAACATCGACTTGCCAGGGCGCCCTGCGTTAGTTCGCGAAAGAGCCCCTCGGGCTGGGATGTGCGTGCGGGGGCCGGGTTGTTTTGCGCGGCGCTGGGATGTTTGCACTTTTAAAAGTGGCAAGTGCCTCTCCAGCATTAGCTCCGTTCTTACAGCCGCGGAAACCCCAACAGTTTGCCTAAGTCTGGGGACAATCTATGGCTCTTTGTGGAGGATGGAAGCAGATTTGGAAAACGCAGAAACTGAGTCCCGTTCACGCCTTTCTCCACTTGAAATAAAAGATTGGGAGTAATCTTACTCTGACTTTGCACTGGCTTCGCTTGTCCGTTGCACACCTCCCCCTCCTCCCCCCATCTCTCTACATTTGGAAGACAGATGTATCGCCTGAATCTCTGGGTCCAGAGGACTAATTTCCGCAGGCAGCGCTATGTGACACTTTTCTGAGCCTCGTTACTTTCGCTGAAGCTCGAGGGGCTGTAACTTTACACGGTCTCTAGCCGTTTTGGAGAATGTATTTTCCGTGTCCAAAAGGGGACCTCATGCCTCAAAGTGAAAAAGCACTTGAACTGGTTTCCCCTGACTTGGAGTGAGGTCATTCCTGCGGCGGATCCAAACCAGTTCCTCAGCAGGACAGGTGCTTTAATTAGAGGGGGCACGTCGAGGGTGGGGAAAGGATCCCTGACGAGTCTACCAGCTTTGAAGCGGCCATTCTGGTTTGCCCGCCTCTCCCGGAAAGGGCATCTGAGCTAGACCTGGTGCTTCGGTTCTGCAGGTCTCCTCGGCGATCCTCCCAGCTGCAATGGCTTGGCTGCTCAGGAGTTAAACGCTTGTGTGCTCTTTGTCTCGCCTTGCATTGTGCCTAGTCCCGGGGCGCACCGAAGCCTTTCTTTCCCAAAAAGATCAGGTCACATTTGAGGCAGGTTTGGAGAATAGCTGCCTTCTCCTGTAACAGGACTGCAGGGAGAACAAAGGGGCTTCGCTGCCCTCTTAACAACAACAGGAGAAGGGGAGGAGGGGGGGAACTTTCATTTGTTTCTATTCAGGGTAAAACAGGTATGACCGGGCAAGGAGGCTCCTTCGTTTTTTCAAGGAGTTTGTGGCTAATATCCATTACACAGCCTGGTGTAACTCAACCCCACTGCAACTCGGAGAGCTTGGCTTGAAAAACGACCTCCTATTTCTTTGCAGCCTTGCTTTCACCCCCCACAACACACCCGCATAAATCAAAGTCCCGCCGCCTCCAGGGGCAGGAGCTCTGAGTCGAAATGCGCCGGGCACAAATCAAAGTCCCGCCGCCTCCAGGGGCATGAGCTCTGAGTCCATTTCCAGCCTGGCAGTTAGGTGAGAAATCCCCTTAGCAGTAGCTGCGGAGATCAGAGCGCATCCCGATGCTCGGCTCACGTTTCCGTTCCGCGGGGACCGGTTGCTTCTGGACCCCCGGCTGCTGGCCCAGCCTTGGCCAGCTGCCGTGCAGAGCTTCGCTGGCAGAGTCGCCTGGCAACTGAAACCAAGCGCACCTGCACCGAAGGGATCACCAAGCAAGGGAGCTTAGGCGGGGCGGACCCAGGAACAGCTAGTTCCTGGGCAGAGTCATTTATAGCCCAGCGGGAGCCGTCCTCCGAGGTGTTAGGCAAATAAGCTTGGGCATCTGCACCTCTGCAGCTAGCAGATGCCAACGTGCTCTCCCACCTAGGGATTTATTTAAAACACCCTAGAGGTGAGGTGGCTGAGCTCCAAAGTGGTGTATTGACCCCTAGGAGCATGACTTGTAATGCACACCCCAGAGCTCCCACAAAGTACTTCAGTCCCGTGAGGGAGTAAACCGAGGAACTGTCCAGAGAGTGAAGGGTGTATTTGTTTCACACCTGATTCACCTTTCACTCTCTCCCTTATCCTGCACAGATCGGTGGGTGGCAAATCCTGGGGTTCCGGCTAGGAACAACAATGTTTAAAGAATGGAACAACAGAACCTTTTCACCCCTGTTACAGTCTCAGCTTACAGCCCCTCTTGAGGCCTAAAAATAAATTCACAAGGGTTAGGCTGCTTGTGGGCTCAGATCAGTACATACCATGATGACAGATATTGTCTCCCTGTTCCCTTGTATTCCCTCCTCAGTCTGTCAGTACCCCTCTGTTGTCTGTTGTTTTATACTTAGGGCCCTGTCAGAGGTGTCAATTTTTCATATCCCTGAGTGCTGTAGCTATATTGACCAAACCTCCAGTGCAGATGCAGCTAGGTCAGTGGGAGAACGTTCCTGCTAAATGCCATTTGGGAAGGCGGTATTCCTACTTCAGTGGGAAAACTCCTCCCATTGGCATAGGCAGTGTCTATACTACCATTATGCTGCGGTAGCTATGTCACCATAGCAATGCTGGCCTTGTCCCTGTAACATAGACATCCTTGGATTGTAAACTCTTGTTCTGTGTGGATTTTTGATTCATGCCTAGGGCTCCTAAGCCAGAAGCTGATAATAATGATGACGGAAAGAATCAACTGAGAAAAAAAAAAGAAAAACCTTCCAAGAAGCTGGTGGGGAGAAGGGGGTCAATTGAGGCCTGGTAACTAAAGTTCACAATCCAGAAAGCCGCATTGTCCTTTATCCTAAATATTGTACATTCTTAAACAGATATACATGCACATCCAATGCATGCTTAGTGTAAGTGTGTCCGCTCTGTGCTCCTTCTCTCCCCACAATACTAAGGCAAGAACTTTTGGTTGGTCTGTTCAGCATCCAGGGGTAGGCATAGTCAGCTTTTCCAGGCTTGCTAATAAAACTCCTATTTCCTTGTTTTGCTTAAATAGTCTCAATTACAACTGGAGAGACATTTTTTATCAGCTGGCTGACACGCTGTATAGACACAACATGAAATGGGCCTCTTGTTTTTGGACACACCATTCTGTTTTTTAAAGCTAGCAGATGAGCCATGCAAAGAAGGGTTTGTTACCAAGAGATTTGGTTTAATCTGTTTCTAAAAAATTGATGATTACAAACGTGGTTCTTTTAATCCCACTATTGTTGTCCAGTTTTTCAACAATTTCAGAAGGTCCTGTGTCCTACCTGGAAAATACAAATTCTTTTTTATTATGTTAAATAAAGTTAAAAGTCATTATCGTGTCACTGCAGATACTTTACAAGACAAAGGGTACATCTACACTGCAATGCTATTTTGGGATAGCAGAGTATCTCAAAAAAGCTATCCCACATCTTCACAGCAAACCCGTTATTTTGGGATCGCTCTTCTGATGCCCCTGTAAACCTCATTGTACGAGGTATAAGGGATGTTTCGGAATAGCGCTTTCTTTCAAAATTTGGCACAGTGTAGACAGCACCAAATGACAAAATAAGCAATTTTGAAATAGCATCAAAATAAGATACGCAATTTGCGTAGCTCAAATTGCGTATCTTATTTCGAGTTATGGTGCAGTGTGGATGTAAAGAGAGGAAAGGTAGTCCTGTAGCTAAGGAACTAGATGGACTTGAGACATTTGACTTCAAGTCTGAACTCTGCTTTCTGTGTTTAGGCAAATCACTTCCTCACTCTGCTCATTGATAAAATAGGGCTAATAATATTTTCTCTCAAACTTTGTCATTCTTATCTATTTAAGTTTCAAGATCCTTGGGTCAGAGATTCTCTCTTTGTTTGTACAGCATCAAGTACCTGAGGGAATTTAGAGGCAGCTACATAATAACAATAAACAACTTTTATAATAATAAATGTATTAATGTTCAAAGCCCATTGGTTGATGGCAGTCTGTCGTGGAAGGAATTTAATGCAAAACACAGAAACAAACATAGTCAGCACAATAGTGACATATTATACTTCTCTTCTCAACTCCTTTCTCCATTTACAGAGAGCCAGAGATGCCCAGAATTCTTTGCCATTCCTTCTCGTCGATGGCGTGTGTTCCCAGGTCTTGGAGTTCCAATCCTTTTCTCTTTAAACGTCTCTTGGCAGAAACTTTCCATCATATCCTCCATCTTCCCTATACTTCCTTACTGTCTTCTTTCTTTCAGGCTTTCTTTGCTGGTTTTCTCCAGCCAACCTATCACTGAGAGCCCCAAATTCATTGGCCCTTCCCCTGGATTTCTTCCATGTGCACTTTGTCTGCCCTCTGCTTGCCTGCCATTCAAATGCTGCCAGCTCAGCAGGGAATCACAGCACCAACAGCCACCAGCAGCATGTGCTTTTACTGGTAGTGCACATCTGCACATGCTTCGGTGCACTTAATTATTCTGCAAATGGATGGAAAACATTAGAAGGAACATTGGTGGAGACCCCTGCAAAGCTCAATTCTGGAGCCCCGGCCTTGAATGGGGAAGAAGATGGGGACAGTGAGGGAGATGGAAAAGACCTAGAGAAATTGGGGTAATTACTCTCAGAGCCCATCCTCCTCCTGACTTCCTCTGCCTGTGCTCGGGTCCTGCTCCCAGCTGGGGCTCTGCTGTCCAGTCTTCACCTCTGGGTCCACATTGGGTTCCCACCAGTTCTGGCAGCAGTGAAAAAGGAAGCAGGAGTACTGTGGGACTGGCAATGAAGTAGCACACTGAAAGGGAAAAGTGTATGCTATGTGTCTTTGTCTCCGGCTTCTGTCTGCCCTGCCTGTGAGCTCCCCTGCCTCCCTCTCTGCCCAAGCCCAGCACCAGGACCAGCATGCTCAGAAGAAAAGGGCTGTCTGGCAGTGGAGCCCAGGGAGTGAAGCCACCAGTGAGGACTTTGTTTGTGTTTGGCTTGCTGGTAGTAAGCTGTTTCCTTTTGTTCCCCACTGGAGGTTCTGCAGTGTGGTGCTCCTTGGTTACCAGGTGGTCCCTTTCCTTCCCCGCTATAATGTCCTGTGAGCTATGGTTGGGCAATGGGGCACTCAGAGGCAGGCCAGTGTGGGAACAGTTAAGCCAGGATCGGGTAAGGGAGCACAGGTTCCTGAGCTACATGGAGTCCAGGGGCAGAACTGAAGATGAGTGGTGGGGAATGGGGATGTTCTTACAGCTGACTCCCCAGAGGGAACAGGATGGAGCGGCTGATGCCCAGTAAGTCAAACAGAAGGTGCTAGATCTGGTTTTCAGGGAGTCCCGTTGGGGACCAATGTGATTACATGGGCTGCAGGTGCTTACTACTGCCACTGTCTTCAGCTCTGTCTCTGATGACACTTCCTAAGTACACACATTCTTTTTGTGATTCAGCTTCTCTTCTGAAACATCAATCAATCCTGCTACAAATATACTAATGTTGGAACCACTGTTTGTGTTTAAAATGAATATTCATAAATATTATTCTTAAACAAAATATGTACATTCAGCTCTTTCCTATGCACAACTAATGTCAACCTAGCACTGCTTAATATTTCCATAAGATATGAATTAAAGAATGCCAACTTTGATGATAAATATTACTCTGGACAAAGTCAGGGTTTATGGGCAAGAAATGATTTTCCTACTTCTGAGATTTTTGAGATTTCAAAAATGTTCCCCACCCCGAATCAGGACAAAAATATGCAAACTCAAAGAATAAATGGCAACCTCTCACCCCAAAAATCACAGCTGATCAATTACTAATTTCATTGTGATCATTCCAGAATGTTTTATTACAGTTTATTTTAATTTTTAAGAACGTTAATTATAACTTAAATTTGAAACCAAAAAGTCATTTCAGTCAGAAATACTAAACTTTTTTGTTTTGAAGATGCTGACAATTTTTAACTTTTTTTTTCAAAATGGAAATTCTGTGAAACTGACCCTTTCCTGTGAGAAGTTTAGATTTACTTGAGAAGCATTTTCTGATGAAAAAAAATGTACAGGCAGTCCCCGGGTTACGTACAAGATAGGGACTGTAGGTTTGTTCTTAAGTTGAATTTGTATGTAAGTCGAAACTGGTACATATTGTAGGGGAAACTCTAGCCAAACATTTCTCCGGAGCTCAGTTTTATTCTCCCACACCTCACTTCCCTCAGTCCTTTATTCTCAAGCTGAGGTGTCTGCTGAGAAAAGCCGCTCCGCGTCTTCCTGGTCTGCTGGGGGGGCACTAGCTTCGCGTCTCCCTGGTCTGCTGGGGGAAAGCAGCTAGTGCAGGGTTGCCTCACCCCGTTTGTAAGTAGGGATCTGATGTAAGTCGGATCCATGTAACCCGGGGACTGCCTGTATTTAAAAAATTCCCAACCAGCTCCAATTATTGAATCCAAAGCTGTAGTCCAAATTAAAGAAAGCTAGGTAAAATAAATGTTCCAAAATGGAAATGCACAGCTAGTTAAACTGAAAATATATGTTCTTAGTAAAGCTTTTGATTAATTACAGTTACTTTGTGAGATAAACTTTAAAAAATCATTATTTTAAAAATTAATCATGATTAATTGCAGTTTTAATTGCACTATTAAACAATGGAATACCAACAGAAATACATTAAATGTTTTTGTTATTATTTTTCTACATTTTTAAATGTATTTATTTAAATTACAATACAAAGTACAAGTCTAAGGTGTTCACTTTATACTATTATTTTATTACAAATATTTGTACTGTAACATGATAAAAATAAACAGTATTTTTCAATTCACCTCATAAGTATTGTAGTGCAATCTTTTTATTGTGGAAGTACAACATACACATGTATATTTTTTGTTACATAACTACTAAAAAACGAAGTATTGTAAATCTTTAGCACCTACAAGTCCACTCAGTCATACTCCTTGTTCAGTCAATTCACTTGAACAAGCAAGTGTACATTTGCAGGAGATCATGCTTCCTGCTTCTTGTTCACAATGTCACCTGAAAGTAAGAACAGGCATTCTCATGACACTGTTGTAGCCTGCATCATAAAATATTTACTTGCAGATGTGTTAAAGATTCATATGCCCCTTCATACTTCAACCACCATTCCAGAGGACCTGTCCATGCTGATGATGGATTCTGCTCCATAATGATCCAAAGCAGTGCAGATTGACACGTTCACTTTCATCATCTGAGTCAGATGGCACAAGCAGAAGGATGATTTTCTTTATTGAAGGCTTTTCTGTAGTTTCTGCATTGGAGTGTTGCTCTTTTAAGACTTCTGAAAGCATGAACCACGTCTCATCCCTCTCAGATTCTGGAAGGCACTTCAGATTCTTACACCATGAGTTGAGTGCTGTAGCTATCTTTGGAAATTTCACTTTCTTTGTGTTCTGTCTGATTGGCAGTCAAAGTGTTCTTAAAACAAACAACAAATGCTGGGTCATCATCTGAGACTGCTATCACATGAAATATATGGCAGAATGCTGGCAAAATAGAGCAGGAGACAAATTATTCTCCCCGAGACGTTCAATTAAAAAAAAAGCTTTTTTTAACAAATGTCATCAGCATGGAAGCATGTCCTGTGTCAGCACTTTACTCTTTGTGTGCTGTGTTGCAATTGCATCAGTGTATTTGAAAATGTAGAAAACATATAAAATATTTAATAAATGGTATTCTATTACTGTTTACCAGTGTGATGAATCATGTGATTGATTGCGATTAATTTTTTTAATCAGTTGTCAGCCCTAGTTCTTAGGATAAACATTTTCAAAAATCACTAAATGTCAGGAGTTTAAGGTGTTTTTTAAAAAAATTACCCTTGATCTATATAGTCCTTATAAACTTATTCTTTTTACTAACTCTTCATTTTTGTTTTATAAGGATTCATAAAGATAAGTAAGCATATAGGTTCATAGACACCTACTTGGCTAGCTCATTAATAATACCATATAACTGTGAATCTGTGTTCTTAACCTATATGGGTATGTCTACACTACCCCGCTAGTTCGAATTAGCGGGGTAATGTAGGCATACCGCACTTGCAAATGAAGCCCGGGATTTGAATTTCCCGGGCTTCATTTGCATAAGCCAGCCGGCGCCATTTTTAAATGCCGGCTTGTTCGAACCCCGTGCCGCGCGGCTACATGCGGCACGGGCTAGATAGTTCGAACTAGCAAGCCATTCCACACTATCTGTACGCCTATCTAGCCCGTGCCGCATGTAGCCGCGCGGCACGGGGTTCGAACAAGCCGGCATTTAAAAATGGCGCCGGCTGGCTTATGCAAATGAAGCCCGGG